ACATTCTGGAAGAGGGCAATCTAAGTTTTCAAATGGGCCTTTGCTTTTCATTTTTTTTTTTTAACAGATACTCTCCATTACTTTGAGAGACACAGACAAATGAAAATGACAGATAAGTTCATTTAAGCTAGCTTCAACCTATAGAGTCATAAAAATCTTATCAGAAATTCTAACAAGTAATAAAATGGACTGATTTGAATTACTCCCTCTTTTTTCTCCTGATCACTTGCTAAGGGGGATATTAACAAACTTAGAAATGAACACAAAACTTCCAAAATGAGTTCCAGGCTTAGTTCCCAATTACCCTCCATCTACTTTTGTTCTACCCACACTGGTCTACTTTTCTGGGCACTGGATACACTACATACCCTCCTACCTCTGTAGCTTGGCTCTCACCATTCCCATCACCTAGGATTTCCTTCATTCCCACTTTACCTATTAAACGTCTACTTGTTATCATGTGAAACTCATAGGGGGGCTACTCCATTAAGCCTTCACTGAACTGCTTTGGCTAATAACAACCTTTCTCCCCAGACCTTCTATAACACTTTGTTTTGTTACATATCATAGCTATTTGTGTTTGTGTCCTATCCTAGGCTATAAATAAATAAAGATAGAGACAATGTCTTATCCAAAATCTCAGCACTTAGCATAATGCTTTCAACATAGTAGATGCTTAACAAATGTGTTGAAATATTGTATGAACTTAACATATGCATGGGAAATACACTGTTTAGAAATACTCCAACACTGAGATTTTTTCACCCAAGATAATCTTTTTCCCCCTTTTTTGGTAGTCAATGAATATAGTAGATGTATATATTCACTATACTTCTAAGTTAATTTGTGTTTTTATAGACTCTATTATGGAAAATCTGCAGAGTCTACTTATTATCTCAAGTTTTCATTAAAGATACTTTTAATGTGCACATAGATCATTCTCACGGGAAACTTCTAATAAGACACATAAGTATTCATGTTTAGACCCTTTAAGACAACAAGAAATGTGCCAAATAAAGTTAAAGAACAATAAAATGGGAAGAAAAATATCCTTACAAAGAAACTTCACAGAAAAACCAGAAGACAGCCTGTATCCTAAATTAGAAAATAAAAGACAGCCCCTACTATAATGAGCAAGTACTATGGGGTAAGAGAAAGGGAGGAGAACTCTTCAAGGGAAAAAAAATATTACCAAAACAATGAAACTCCCAGAAACGAGAATTGCATAATAACATCCCCCAATGTGGGCGAGAAACTTAATAAGAGTTTTAAAGAAAGTTGAAGAGGGAAATTAGAACTTGCAAAGTAAAATTCTGAAACATAGGAGACTCAATGGCTTAGAAGATGAGGGACTTTTTTTCCCCCAAGGCAACAAACATTAAGTATCTACCATGTATGAGGCACTGGCCTAAGTGCACGGATTATATAGTGATATATAATAGAAATTAATCATACAAAATTACTACATATATTTAGGTTACCTATATATATATACAGAGAGAGAGAGAGAGAGAGAGAGAGAGAGAGAGAGAGAGAACACTGAGGAATGTTTAAAACATATTCTGTGGAGTGAACGCAGTGACTTGCTTCAGCTCTCCCCTCAAAGCCCTCCAAATACCTGTAAAAATGGCTCCAAACAAATTCTAGAGCAGCAGAACCCACAAAAAGACAGAGTGAAACAAATTTCCAGCCCGAGGCAACCTGGATGGTTGATTGGAAAGCCCTGTTGCGCCAGGCTGGGATAGGAGCACAGATCTGCGTGGGCACACAGGCAAAGACCACCCCGCAGCGAACCTGGAGCAGTCCTCAGAGGACTGAATCGCGGGCAGCTGTGGCGGCTTCCAGAATTCTCAACCCACAAACACCAAAGACAACTTAGGAGGTTTGTAGGAAAGGTTGGTGACTGTGATGAGAGAAAAGATTGGTCCCTGCCCCAATCCTGGTGCAGCCCTCGTGGGGCAGCTGTTTCCAGAGCTCTTGGCCCACAGACAGAGGGTGAATCCAGTGGCTGATCAGAGGGGGATTGCAGGGATTTCTTTGCTGGTGCTGAGGCAGGATTCTCTTGCTTTACCTGTGCTTGGATCTGGGTCACAGTTCTGAATGGCAGTCCTGGGGCAAGGAGGAGTGCTGGCATGGTGGAGCTTGTGGTGGCGATAGAGGGAAAATCCTCCTCACAGTTCCAAGGCAGAAAATAGTGCTTATGGTCACTCACAGACCAGAGTACAGGCCAGGAAAAGAGTAAATACCTCGCCCTTGATCATACCACCTTGGAAGAACTGAAAACTTACAGGTCCCTAGAAGTATCTCCAAAAACAGCTGCACAAAATCCCTGAAAATCGGGATAGTACATTCTCCACACTGGAAATAGACCCCTACCTTAACAAAGAGTTTAATAGTCAAGTAATTGGCTGGGATCATGAGCAAACAGCAGGGTGAAAAAACTCAGACTATAGAATCTTACTTTGGTGACAAGGAAGATCAAAACATCAGAAGAAGACAAAGTCAAAGCTCCTACATCCAAAGCCTCCAAGAAAAATATGAATTAGTCCCAGGCCATGGAAGAGCTCAAAAAGGATTTTGAGAAGCAAGTAAGAGAAGTAGAGGAAAAACTGGGAAGAGAAATGAGAGTGATACAAGAAAATCATGAAAAACAAGTCAATAGCTTGCTAAAGGGGACCCAAAAAATCACTGAAGAAATTAACACCTTAAAAATTAGCCTAACCCAAATGGCAAAAGAGGTCCAAAAAGCCAATGAGGAGAAGAATACCCTAAAAAGCAAAACTGGCCAAATAGAAAAGGGAGTCCAAAAGCTCACTGAAGAAAATACTTCCTCAAAAATTAGAATGGAGCAAATGGAAGCTAGTGATTTTAGGAGAAATCAAGACATTATAAAACAAAACCAAAAAAATGAAAAAATAGAAGATAGTGTGAAATATCTCACTGGAAAAACAACTGACCTGGAAAATAGATCCAGGAGAGATGATGTAAAAATTATTGGACTATCTGAAAGCCATGATCAAAAAAGATCCTAGACATCATCTTTTAAGAAATTATCAAGGAAAACTGCCCTGATATTTTAGAATCAGAGGGCAAAATAGAAATTGAAAGAATCCACCAATCACCTTCTGAAAGAGATCCCCAAAGGAAAACCACTAGGAATACTCTAGCCAAATTCCAGAGTTCCCAGGTCAAGAAGAAAATATTACAAGCTGCCAGAAAGAAACAATTCAAGTACTGTGGAAACACAATCAGGATAACACAAGATTTAGCAGCTTCTACATTAAGGGACCACAAGGCTTGGAATATAATATTCCAGAGGGCAAAGGAGATAGGATTACAACCAAGAATCACCTACCCAGCAAAACTGAGTATAATCCTCAGGGGAAAAAATGGATATTCAGTGAAATAGAGTACTTTCAGTGAAATAGAGGATATTCAGTGAAATAGAGCATTCATAGTGAAAAGACCAGAGCTGAATAGAAAATCTGACTTTCAAATACAAGACTCAAGAGAAGCATGAAGAGGTAAACAGGAAAGAGAAATTATAAGGGACTTATTAAGATTGAACTGTTTGCATTCCTACATGGAAAGATGATATTTGTAACTCATGAGACCTTTGTCAGTAATAGGGTAGTTGGAGGGGAAAAAACATAGATAGATAGATAGATAGATAGATAGATAGATAGATAGATAGATAGATAGATAGCACAGGGTAAGTTAAAGATGAGGTGATATCTGGAGAATAAAATTAAGGGGTGAGAGAGGATTATACTGGGAAGGAGAAAGGGAGAAGTAGAATAAGGTAAATTATCTCACATAAAACAGACAAGAAAAGGCTTTTACAGTGGAGGGGAAGTGGGGGAAGGTAAGAGGGAATGAGTGAATCATATTCTCATTGGATTTGGCTTAAGGAGGGAATACCACACATACTCAATTGGGTATGGAAATCCACCTTACCCTACAGGAAAATAGACAGGAAGGGGATAAGAGAGTGGGGGAATGATAGAGGGGAGGGCACACTGGGGGAAGGGTAATCAGAAGCAAACACTTTTGAGGAGGGACAGGGTCAAAAGAGAGAATAGAATTAAAGGGGGGCAGGATAAGATGAAGGGAAATATAGTTAGTTTTCTACAACATGACTACTATGGAAGTGTTTTATATGACTATACATGTATAACCTGTATCGAGTTGCTTGCCATCTCAATGAGGTTGGGTGGGCAGGGAAGAAGGGAGAAAATTTGGAAACCAAAGTTTTAAAAACAAATGTTAAAAATTGTTTTCAGGGCAGCTAGCTGGTGCAGTAGATAGAGCACCGGCCCTAAAGTCAGGAGTACCTGAGTTCAAAACCGGCCTTAGACCAAACACTTGACACACTTACTAGCTGTGTGACCCTGGGCAAGTCACTTAACCCCAATTGCCTAAAAAAAAAAAATTGTTTTCACATGCAACTGGGAAATAAGATATACACGCAATGGGGTATAGAAATCTATCCCGGGGCAGCTAGGTGGCGCAGTGAATAGAGTACTGGCCCTGGATTTAGAAGGACCTGAGTTCAAATCCAGCCTCAGACACATAACACTTACTAGCTATGTGACCCTGGGCAAGTCACTTAACCCCATTGCCTAAAAAAAAAAAAAGAAAGAAAGAAATCTATCCTGCCCCATAGGAAAACAGAAGGGGAAGGGGATAAGAAAAGGGGCAGGGAGATAGAAGGGAGGGCAGATTAGAGGAATGGGTATTCAGAATGCATGCCGTCTTGGGGTGGGGGGAGGGATAAGATGGAGAGAAAATTTGGAACCCAAAATCTTGTGAAAGTGAATGTTAAAAAACCTACAAATAAATATATTAATAAATAAAAAACATATTCTGATTCAATTTTCATTCATTTTTATCACAACTATTCTTTGTCTTGATTTTTGTTGTCATTCTCTTATTCCTGATCTTCCCATGAGATGCCATCTTTACCATTTGTTGAAGGTTCAAATACTATTCTTTCTTACGTAATTAAAATTCAGTCGCACAACAGATCCATCAAGGAATTCTTAATTTTCTCTTCAGGAAGAGTATAATATTATGAAATCAGTGGAAGCTCTGAAAGAAGAAAATAACATACTCAACACAAAAATACAGAGAAGTAACGGCAAATATATGAATCACACTTTTAAAAAATTCTAGAGAAATTGGAAGAATACTACCAGTCTCCACAAATTAAAGCTGTGGGCTTTGAAAACAGAGATCAGTTAGACAGTCTGAGAATAGTTAGTATTCCAGAGGGGGAAATGATGAAATAAACAGTACAAATACTACATTTTAGGAAATCATCTAAGAAATCTTTCCAGAAGTACTGGAAAAAGAGAACAATATACAGTTTGAGACAATCCATAAAGCATTGTCAGAGATGGATTCCATATTTAAATCATCAAGAAATCTAATCATCAAGTTCCAGAGCTTCAACTCTAAATAAAGAATTTTTCAATCAGACATGAGGGAAGAATTTACTCTTCAAGGAATATAATTTCAAATATTAAAGGACTATTAATCAAGGATAAAATATGAAAGAAAAGCACAGTTATTAGAAGCCAAAAGCAAAATAAACCAGCATGTATGCTATATAAAATATTCACAAAGCTGGGTATACTTCTCCATAGACTGAGAAGGAGAAAGAAAAAAATGTCAACAGTTAAAAAGCAATAAAGGTATTTGGATCTGGACTGGAGAAGAAAGGAGGTTGCAAGAGCAAGATGGTAGAAATTGGAATCCTTTTGGTTTAAGCAAACAAGTTAAAGCCACCTAGTTCTAATTAAAAAAAAAAAAAGGTAATTTAACACGATTGGGTGGTAGATACAACAAATGATATGGATAGAGTTTTCAGAAGTAGAGATTCAAACTATCAAAAGCCAATCTGAAATTGTCAAAGTTATTCAAAATCACTAGTAATCTGAGATATTAAAATTAAAGGAACTCTGAGGATAATCTCCCACCCCTCATAGGATCACGAAAACATAGGATTTAGACCAGGAAGGAACCTTAGAGATCATCTAGTCTCTCCCTTCCATTTTACATATGAATGAATGTGCCTGGCAGATACAGAAACTAAGAGTCTGATGAAATCCAAGGGTATTCAAATAAATGGAAAACTTGCTTTTTTGAGTTGGCTGAGTAAATGAGCTATGCCGAGTACACCCATACCACAGACTTGCCAATCATGTTCAGGAATGTCACTTTTAAAGCTTTGTGGAAAATGAATTGGAGAAGGGAACAATCAAAGGCAGAGAGAGCAATTAGAAGATTGTTGCAATAGTGCAGGCAAGAAATGATGAGTACATGGACTATAAAAGGGGACATATGTAAGGGATGCTGTGGAGACAGAAGTGATGACAATTGATTGAATAGGGGTGGGGCTGGGAGTGAGATAGACGGAAGACTTGAGGATGACTCTGAGTTTGTGCACCCAGTAACTCTAAGGATAGAAGTATCCCTGACAGAAAGAGACGTTTAGAAGAGAAGCGTTTTTTTTTTTTGGGGGGGGGAATAATGAGTTCTCTTTTGTACAAAAAATAAATTAAAATGAGGTTATTCAGTAACAAAAAGCAAATCTCACATAAAATAAATAATCAGTAAATGGTTTTTGAATGAGTGGATGAGAATGGGACATGGAAAGCCATGGAAAGAATGGTCCATGTCAGCCTGGAGAAGACTGGAAATCCTGACAGACCTGTAGCTTTGGCCAAAAGGCGGCAATAAACATGGGAACCATGTCAGAGATCAGTTTTCCTTGGCATGGATACACGGGACTTGAGTCTCAAACACAGATCTGAAATTGAGAAAAGAATAAGAAAAATGCAATATGGTTAGCCAGATAATTTACAGGCATCCAGCAGGGTGGCAGTCAGCATCAGAGAAGCTTAGAGCTAGTTCTAGGGACTCAGTCACAGGCAATGGGGTATAGAAATTAAGGAGTCAAGCCACAGCAAGAGCTAGGTACAGAGTAGTGCAGGGGAATAAGGCACGGACTCAGCTTTAGGGCAACTGTGTGATGTAGAAACCCATTACTAGAGTAGAAGGTTGGCTGTAATCAACTGAGTCTCCAATCCATTACATGAAACTAAAAGACCTCAGACATCAGCAACCCATCTGCAAATGAAAGAGTTAGGGAATTCCCCAAGGATTGTACTTTTCCCTGGACTTGAATTGCCCTTGCCCTGGTATCTTTTCTCCCTATTCTCCACTCCTTGACGTGGGAAAATGAAGAGGCTGAGCAGTTAGAAACAGGGGAACCAACCCTGGTGTAGTCCAATCTAAAGCAGACAGCTCTTAAGAAAGCTTCTATAGGAGTGCAGCGTGTGTGTGTGTGTGTGTGTGTGTGTGTGTGTGTGTGTGTGTGCGCGCGCGCGTAGATTTCTCTCCATTCTGCCACCCACCATCCACACCGTCTTGCAGCAAAAGCACATGGACAGAGGAGGCATATGTCCACACACACAGCCTGAAAGGGGTATTTGAGAACATTGCTTCCAGAACTCCAACCTCCTATATAGAAAGTTGTGAAGACAGCCAATCCTGGAGGACTGGGCTCTCAAGTAATGGTTGCTCATGTCTTCCTGTGCACTTTTCATAGAGTATAGCAATTGGGTGGGGATTTCTCCCCCTGCCAGCCTCCCTTCATCAGCAATGGTATTTTGTAGCAGAAGCGCATGGATATAAGAGATAGGTGGCTGCATACAGCCTGAGAATGGAATGCAAGAATATTGCTTCCTGAAAACCAACTTTCTGTGTTGAGAGGAATCAAAGAAGAAAAAGAACTTGGTTTCTAGAGTGGGGAATCCTACTAATGAGGACACATCAAGTCTCAGAGCTGAGACACTGAAGGAGCAGAACGATGAAAGCTTCCCTCTAAATCTCTTGGCATTACATGCATGCCGTTGGAATATGTGGGCCACCTATCAATTGTGTCTCCTGTTTCCTTGCTACACCATTGGCCCACATCTTATATGGTCATAGATCTCTCTGATACTCTTCGTAGTGCTTTTGTTGTACATTTCTTAATTAGAAATATGTTCTATCTCCCGTTATTACCATTATAGTACTCACGTCCACTATTTGCTTCTCCATCACCATTTGGGCAACATGAAACTATAATTCTTTAGAAGCTGTGGTACTCCCCAATTCAAAACTATATAGCATTAGCAGAAGAATATTGATGTTGAAAAGATGAGCATTTGTTTCAGGGAGAATATTGGTGTTAAAAAGACTAAATCTACATAAAATACTTGTTGGTTTCTTTAATAGTCTTCTTATTTGATATCCCTTAGCAACTGGCTTCTTTTAGAACCTAGTTCAATTTCAAGGTTTAAAGCAACAGCATCCTGAAAACAGAATAGTAATTAACTGGGTTCATAATATTTCCCACATTGTGAATTATTTCTAGCATTCTTCAATCACTTACTTCCTGTGAAATGGAAAGAAAGTTGCTGTAAAATGATCTGATATTTTTAATTATTTAATTCCTTCCCCTTAGGGAAGGTTTCCTAGGATTGACACTAACCTACCTCCTTAAAGGAGGCAGTTTACAGCCTTTTTAAATTTCCTTTTGAATTAAATTTATTCCAAACAGAATAGCCTTTGCCCGTAGGACATCAGTTCTCAGAGACCTTTTTTTTTTTGGCTTTTTGGTGAGGCAATCAGGGTTAAGTGACTTGCCCAGGGTCACACAGCTAATAAGTGTTAAGTATCTGAGGCTAGATTTGAACTCAGGTCCTCCTGACTCCAAGGCCAGACAGAAGACAGTTCTAATAGGGCTCAGGACAATGTAAATATCATCTAAGAAGTTCCTGCATTGCAAAGGGAGCCTAAAATGAAGAGACTCTCTCTGATGAAGATCAATTCTGCAGATAATAAAATCTAAGCCAGACCTTTCTAAATTTTTTGCTTGTAGGACAGCATTTCCACTTTCACTGCTTGTAAAAATCATAAAATTTTCTATATTTCTTACCTAACAAATTTAGTGGGGTGACATTGCCTTCCAGGGAACAGGAACTTCTCAACGAAACTGCATAATCAATATTGGGATTATAAACCAAAACCCAATGTCTGCTCATCAACAGACTAGCTTTAACAATTGTTTTGTAAAAATGGTTTACACCCCTACGGCAAACCATACCAATATAATCAACTTCTTTACTACTCCATGAGTGAAGAAAGGTTGATTTTATTGTTCTCCTTTACTACTAACACAGAAAAGGGAAAATTTGTTTTCTGGTTAGTATTGTTCAAAACAGAGGTGAAATATACTAAGTTCAAATAACCTACGCCTTTCTATAAATTGTGACCTCTAAATAACATCTAATCTTACATCTCCATAGCAGTCATGAGAAATTACTTTCACTTTTGAGTACCCTGAAACTATGAATTGTTTTTCCTGCGGCAACAGATATAAATAAAATATAATAACCATTAAGTTGTTATTGTTGTTCAGTCACGTCCAACTCTTTGAGACCCTATTTGAGGTTTTCTTGGCAAAGATACTGGAGTGGTTTGCCTTTTCCTTCCTCAGATCATTTCACAGATAAAGTAACTGAGGCAAACAGAATTAAATGACTTGCCCAGGGTCACATAGCTAATATCTGAGACTAGATTTGAACTCAGGAAGAGAAATCTTTCTGACTTCCAGACCAACACTCTATACACTGTACCACCTAGGTACCCCAGTGATCATTCATCTAGGTTCAAAACTTTGGACTCATCTTGGCTCAGCCTCCTTCCTTGATTCCTCACATTCAGTCAATCACCAATCCTGTCAATGTTTTTTCCTTAAATTTTTTTCATTTATGGTTTCTTGGACCTAAGGTTCCTCATCTATAAAATGAGGGGGTTGAACTGGATGACTTCTAAGGTCTCTTCCACTTCTAAATCTATGATCCTGTGATCTAATAGATTAGCTCCTTGAGAGCAAGGAGTTTCGTTTTTGTCATATCCTCAACACTTAGCACAGTGGCTGGCATGCAATAGGCACTCATCAAACACTTACTGATTGATTGATCCAAATGTCCTTCACTTATTTTTCATTAGTGCAGGTCTTTATCACCTCCTAACTGTACAGCTGTAACAGCTATACCACATGGTGTTTACGCTTAGGACTCTCCTGACTTGATTCACCCAATATACTGAAGCTGGATTCATCTTTTTAAAATGCTGTCATCTCCCATTCAAATATCTCAAATAGATTCTTCTTTCCTACTACATCAAATCTCAATATCTCTGCCTGGCTCTCAAGTTCCTCCATATAATCTGGTCCTACCTTATCTATCCATCTAACCTTATGTCCAAAGTTCTGCAGGAAACCAGAAACACACTGCTTCTATTCTTAAATTTTCCCTCATGTTGTACCTATTGCCTAGAATGCATTCTTTTGTTTCCTCCACCTATCCAAATCCTATACAACCTTCAAGACCCAGTTAAAGTTGAAGACAGTTTTCATTGATCGTCCTTTCCTCTAAGTTCCTTCTAGCACTTAAAGCACAAATCACACAGCTACTATGTAGCCTAGAGCCTTCCATGAATCCAGGAGAGTAGAAGGCAACGTCCAGAGGGGCAGAGCCAAGATGGCGGAGTGAAAGCAGTGACTTGCTTGAGCTCTCCCCCAAACCCCTCCAAATACCTATAAAAAATGGCTCTAAACAAATTCTAAAGCAGCAGAACCCACAAAAAGACAAAGTGAAACAAATTTCCAGCCCAAGACAACTTGGATGGTTGATCAGAAAGGTAGATCATGCTGGGCTAGGAGAAGAAAACAGTTTGGCGTGGGCATGCAGGCCTCAGCAAACCTGGAGCAGTCCTCAGAGGACTGAATCATGGGCAGCTGTGGTGGCTTCCAGACTTCTCAACCCAGGAACGCCAAAGACAACTTAGAAGGTCTGTTTCTGTGGTGAGAGGGGAGTAAGTTCCCAAGTGCAGAGTTCAGAGCACTGCCCCAGGGTGGCGGCTTCCTCTTGAGCTCCCAGCCCACAGACTGAGGGGGAATCCAGCAGCTGATCAGAGAAGGATTGCAGGGATCTCTTTGCCAGTGCTGAGGCAGGAATCTCTTGCTTTGCCTGTGCTTGGATCTAGGTCACAGTTCTGGATGGTGGTCCTGGGGTGAGGAGGAGCACTGGCGTGGTGGAGCTTGTAGTGGCTGTGGAAAGGAAATCCTCCACACAGTTCCAAGACAGAAAAGAGAGCTTGTGGTCACTTATACACCAGAGCACAATCCAGGAAAGGAGTAAACACCTCGCCCCTTATCATACCACCTTGGAAGAACTGAAAATTTACAGGTCCCTACAAGTATCTCTAAAAACAGCTGTACAAACCCCCCAAAGCTTGGGACAGTACATTCTCCACATTGGAAGCAGACGTCTACCTTAACAGAGTTTATATCTCAAGTAATTGGCTGGGATCATGAGTAAACCTCGCAAGAAGCTTCAGACCATAGAATCTTTTTTTGGTAACAAAGATCAAAACATACAACAAAGGAAGACAACAAAGTCAAAGCTCCTACATCCAAAGCCTCAAAGAAAAATATGAATCAGTCCCAGGCCTTGGAAGAGCTCAAAAGGGATTTTGAGAAGCAAGTAAGAGAAGTAGAGGAAAAACTGGGAAGAGAAATGAGAGTGATACAAGAAAATCATGAAAAAACAAGTCAACAGCTTGTTAAAGGAGACCCAAAAAAATACTGAAGAAATTAACACCTTAAAAAACAGCCTAACCCACATGGCAAAAGAGGTCCAAAAAGCCAATGAGGAGAAGAATGCCCTAAAAAAGCAAAACTGGTCAAATGGAAGA